TATTTTTGCTAAGTTTTTAAATGTAGGGGGTTATAAATAATTCAAATAATAATTTAAATAACAATATTCAATAATAACATTTAATTAGATGACAATTCAGTAATTTAAATAACATACCCTCTAATTTATTCCTCCCAAACAAACATATTAATAAAACATACCCACCAATTTATTTCAATTAACCAAACATATTTTCCTAAAGATTCATAATAATCTTCAAGGTAATTTAACTTTCTAGTAATCTAATATTCTCAATAATTCAATATTTCCTAAATCAAATGCACCTTTTAGGACATAATAGTAGTTATATTAGTCATCTGTCTTATTTTATTAGTTTCCACATGTTCAATAACATAATCTGAGGTATTTTTGTCTTCAAATTTCTTGATTCTAACTTCTAGATAACAGAATCAACGTCAAAGTGTGTTAATGATACATCATTAAATGTCTAAGAGTCTAATATGATAAGAAATATATATTTATTTATTAAAAATTTTACACGATTGCAATTTGGCTGCATCCAAACACTACAACTGTCATGTTTTCTTTACACTTTTTCCTTCTTTTTATTATTTTTAATCATTTTTGATATTTTAATTTGATTTTGTAGAATCTCAATATAACAATTTGTTAATATTATATATTCAAAAATTTAATATTAAAAACTACTAAATTTAGGGTGCGTTATTTACCTTTTCTTGCATATTAGCTCATTTTATTGCATTTTTTTTTTACCCAGGAAACCAGGAGAGATGGGCCTATGGGTGTAAATCGTGTTGAGTTTTGGGGTAAACTGAGTCAGGGTTGATTTGAACAGTGTTGAGTTCAAGCTTGACGAGTCTGGCAAAATGTGCTTAAGATCGAGCTCGTGGAAGATTGAGCTGGCTCGAACTCAAGCTCGATAAACGAGCTTGAGCCAGCTCATTTATGATGGTGAGAGTGGCCTGTGCAATTTCTTAAGCAGGTGGTGGGCAAGGTGAAAATGGCAAATTCCACCAGTAAAGTCAATCACAAAATCCAGTTCAACACTTCCAAATCAAAACTCCAAAACAACAACTTCTCACAATAAAATTTCACATCAGAACCTAAAACACATAGCAAACCATAATCACCAATTAAAGAAAAATTCGACACTTGAACAAAAAGATAAAGAGTTTGAAAAACAGATTGAACATTACATGAATTAGCAACGCCAAGAAGAATTTTTAAACGAAAAAATCATTTATTTTATTTGTTTTTTATTTTTTTCTCCTTTAAAACAAAAACTTTCATTTCAAATCAGAGTTTTTAATCCGAAATTGTAAACGAAAAATTAATTATTGATTTATGAAAGAAAAGTTTTTGAGATGAATTGATTTGAAATGTTTTTTGGCTGTGTTTGGGGCATTATTCAAACCGTATCTTATCCTATTATCCTATCAAAAAAAAAAAAAAAAAAAATTGAAAAATGCATTTGTTAATATTCTTAAAATCCAACCCTATTCTATTTAACTAAAAATATTAACAATTATTTTCCTTAATAAAAATTTTAAAATTAAGAAAAATACCTCCACCTTTCTCAATAAAAGTTTTCAAATTAACAAAAACACCACCAGCCACACAAACCACTATCACTCGCCAGTAGCCACTACTGTCGCTAGCCGCCGTTGCTTCCGTAGTTGGATGCTGGTGTCGTAACGACATATGACCGATCATATTTGGCCAGTCATACACTGATCTATCCATTTCTAGCCATATCCACCATGGATTTGGCCAGAACGGCCATATCTATGGTGAAAGATTTGATCGTTAACGACTATATCTGGCTAGATCTAGCTATCATCAATGGCCAGATCTGACCGTTTCTGGTTGGATTTGGTTGAAAAGGCCAAATCGGCATACGATCGGCTAAATCCAATCAATTATGTGCCATTCTAGCGACTTTCAGTCACCATCCGGTAGTGGTGGTCGGCTGCCAACAATTATTGGGTGAGCGGGAGTATTTTCGTTAATTTATAAACTTTTTTTGTGGAATTAACAAATGTAGGGGTTAAAAAATGATTTAAATATTTTTAGAAAATGTTTTTCAAAAATTTGCCAAACACATATAGAAATTCAAATCTTATTTTCGTAAAAACAACCTAACTTAACTTTTTCAAAAATAGTATTCTAAATACTCAAACAAACACAACCTTCATCGATCAATTATGGAAGTGATAAATTTCTTGTTTTTCATTCTTCTCTTGGTTTTGCAAACAATATTCCGAAAGATGTTTTCATTTTATACATTTTCAAATATTATCTTTACACGAACACGTCACATGCATATTTTTTTTTTTCGCCTATACCATTCATTTTCAATACTTTGAAAAGAAAAAAAGAAAAAAAGAAAAAAGAGAGGCAAAATTCATATAAAAATAAACCTTCTCTTTATGTATGTATTAGCTTAAAATACACTCTGCACCTAAGATTCTTATATTAATTCGAATTGAAAATTAAATTAAAATCAGAAAAAATAATGAAATTTCTCCTCACGATTATTCAAAAGAAAAAATATCTTTGAAAAACTAATGAACTTACTCGTCATGAAAATCAATGGCATTAACCCTATATTTTAAATGAATCTAAAGACCATGCTTTTTGAATGCTTCTAGGACTAGAGATGGCAACGGGTCCGATATTTTCGGGTATATGGCCTAGCCCGTCCCGAAAAGGCTGGGCTTTGCTCGATGTTAGCGGGCTTGGGCTTGAGTCTGAGACGATTTTAAGGCCCACCATCAGGTATGGGCCGGGCATGAGTATGTCTTTAGTCCCGGCCCAACTCGGCCCAACTTGACAATTTTACGAAATTAGCCTTATACTATATATTTAATTACAGAATTATCCTATATATATATATATAAACTGAGATTTATTAATATTTAAATATTCACATTATAAAAATGGGCGGGATTGGGCCAGGCCTGTTGGGCCGGACTTGGGCTTTACCCGTCATCCCGGTGACGAGTCTGGGCTGGGACTGGGACTGGGCTTTTGTCATGAGGTCAGGCTTGGGCCTGGGCCTGGGCCAAGGGGTACTCGGTCCCAANTTATAAATATAGGCATGCTTGGCCCGGGATTGAGATCACAAAAAGCTCGTCAGGCCGGGCTTGGGCTTGGGCTTTACCTATCATCCCCATGACAAGTCTTGGTCGGGATTGAGCCTTTAATGTGGGGTCGGGCTTGGGCCGGGTCAAGGGGTACCCGGTCTTGAACCGGCCCATTGCCATCTCTACCTAGGATCTAGGTTTAACCCGAACAAGTCCGACTCGGGTATTTATGCCCCTAATTTTCTAATACCTCAAATATCTTTAAGTATTTATTATCTTAAAATACCCTTTACATTTTACACCCCAATATTCTTATTTTAATTCGAACTGAAAATTAAAATAAAATGAGAAAAACTAATATACATATAAAAGAGAAATCCCCCATATAACTATTTTTTTTATTAAGAAATATTCTCGTATATAATCATCCTTACTAATTTTAATTGCCAAAATATCACAGTTTTGTTTTAAGAACATATTTAGTCATAAGATCATGCAACTTAACCTAATTGTCCTTAATGAAAATTAACAAAGATAAAATAATCAAATGGGCTAGGTTATCAAGTCTATCACCATCTAGCATGATCAAGTATGGTTTAACATATTTTAATCAGATTGTCAAACTATATTATTAAATCCTAGATTATCAAGTTCTGTATAATTTAGCATTACCTAATGAAAATTTATCATTTGTTATATATGCATGCAGCTGAAAATGGCACTCATTTCAATTCTCCTAAATGTTACATGCGTTACATTTTTTAAGCTGAATTGACCCTGCAATTTTTGCTCTTTCAAAGGCATGACCATCAAGACTTAAGACCTTTCCCTTTTGTAAGTAATTTTTGATAAAACATAAAATAATACCAACACAATCAAGCTAACATAGCAAAAGAGGGACGACGAACCTTGCCGTCACGTTATTTCTTCTCACCAATAAACTAATAAATAACAAATCTATATATAAAAATTATAAAACTCTTGATTCATCAATTAAATCAAACACTAATCTAATAGATAACGCACTAATGAAACTTTTAGTAAAACTGATATGTTTGATTTACTTTCCAACACAGTTTCCATTTTTCTTCTTCATTCAATGCAACCATTAATATTACCTCTCTCTCTCTTTCTATATAAACTCCTCAACGGAATTCTCTTTTCATGCATTCAGTCTCTCTTTTTCTTCAAAAATATCAGTCATGGCTTTGGGAATGTTCACTAGGGAAAAATGTGTTTGGAATTTTTTTATATTTGTTTTTTCAACTTAATCCTTGATGGTTAAAAATTTTCAAGAATTGAGACTACGACTATCAAGAAAAAAAATAATACAATTTATTTTTGACCAAATCCTTGACAGTTAATAATTATCAAGAATCATCCAAAACGGTTAAGGATTATTTCAAATTCTTGACAGTTCATAAACTGTCAAGAATTTATCAAGAATTATAATTCTTGACATGTTTCTAGAACGGTCAAGAAAATCTGTCAACTCATTCTGTCAAGAAATGAGGTTTTTTTAGTAGTAAAAATTCCACAGCGGTAAAGCGGACATAACTCTCATACAGAGAGTAAACCATTATAAATATTGTGTTTGCGTATATGGTTATTTGTTTGCCCTTTGTTTGCATTATTTTCATTTTCATAGTGATTTAAGATTTGCCAGCATCTAATTAAATCCCCACAAAAGATTGAAGCTAACACTAATGTCCTTATGTGAGAGTTAGACAATTCTTTATGTGATCATCAATGACCTTTCCACATGTAACAACGCATCGGTGGACAAATGTAAAAATTTTGTAGTCTCAAAGGAACCCAAGGAAAATTTTGTAGTCTCAAAGGAAAATTCTTTACATTATTTTCATTATTTTTAAACATACGATATGTAGATTATATCACATATACCATTCTCGGAACAATCAGGTCACACACTTATAAATGCCTCCACATATCAGATGATATCTGCAGAGCATGAATTATTAATGAAGATACCTCGGGTGATCACACTTATTCTCCTTGCAACAAGAACATATCGGAAAAAACATGTTATTTAATTTCTGACAATGGAATGGGTTGAAAGAGTGATGACAACATAACATCCTTAATCTCTTGACCTCCACCACCATGCCCATCTCCGTGGCGATAAAAGTAATGGGAAGTTCTCAAAAGATTTATGATCATTTCAACAATAGGTTGAGGCAAGGGACAATTTGTTGCAGCTCTGTATACATTTATCTTCTTCCATATCTTCCTGGTTAGATCCTTAATGTATTCACGAGCAACTTCCTCAGAACAACCAGTATCATTCATGTAACATTGGATTGCTTTAGGTACATCACCTCTCTTCATCTCATCCTGATTTATTTATTGAAAGAAACACGACCAATTAATTCATAGAGAATTCAAATTAAAGTATATAAAAACAATTGTAAGTAAATTAATGCTAGATTTTATACCGGTGAAGTTCCCAAATCATCTTGAAGTCGGAAAGCCGTGGATGACCATTTTATAATATCCGGATTGCTTTCTAGAAATTCTAAGTCCTTCTCTAATATCGGATTTGCTGACGATATATATGATAGAGTTGCCATAATAGGACCCGTAACTGATATATAAGCATTATTCAAATATTCATCTAGCGTTGGCTTATACTGATCGTGGTACCATCTTGCCTCTGTTATTTGGGCTTGCGCCATATCTTTCCACTGATGTAAATGACATAGCGACGAGTAGTGAGATATTTAAACAATAAAACATTATAAAAATAAAGGAAGAAACGAATTATATAATATTACCATTTTGATTAGAGTCATTGAGACGTCTGAATTCTTTTCTTTGAGAACGTGATGAGCCACTTCATTAACAAAGTTGAACAGCGAGAGAAAACTTGTTTTCATGTAACTGGGAAGCTGTTTCATTGCTTTAATGTCCCATCTGAAATACATGTGTAATATAAAAGCATCATATAATTTTTTCTTAGAACTGCTAGGTTTGTATAACAAGAAAATTTTGCCCAACAATTACCTCGTAATAGCATCAGTCAAGAGCTCTAGTTCAGGCAATGTACCATAAACATCATAAATATCGTCAATTAATGTAATTAGAGCAACGGCCTTTGCAACGAACTTTCTGCAGTAAGAGTACTGAGGTTGAAAAGCTACACCCAAGCCCCATAAATATGCTGGTATGAAGTTGATCCTAGCAAAAGTTAACTCTCGAAGACCAGTATTCTCCCACCACCTTCACAAGCAGAAGAGAAACATATCAACTTGACTCCCTTAAAAATAGATTACAAATATAAGTGTTGACATAGAGATCTAAACAATATAAGAGATTAAATTTTTTGTTTAACTTGTTTGTCAAATCTCGTTACTCATATTTTACAAATAGCAACATTACTCATATAAAGTTGGAATCTCAATTTTGTATGTCAACTTATGTAATTGTTTACGTGTCAACGCCATTTATTAATTAATTATAAGTTAGTTACTCACTTATTTGCTTTATTTTATAATCAATGCTGTAATGAAACATAAATAGCTGCATTAGTTGGGATGCAAAAGGTACAATTTCAATAAGTGTTTCATTAATAAAGGCTGTGCAATAACGAGGACAAAAAGTTGAGGAAGGGTTACTGACCTCAATGTGTCTTTAAGTTCTTCCTGGTGAATTCCCTGTAAAATATTAAAGTCCACCTTTGCAAGCTCGAGTAAAAGGTGATTCTTGTCTTCCCTTCTCTCATATGAATCTATGAACCATTTGGTCTCGAATCGTGGCGCCCACCAATGAAGAGGAAGCTCCAAGGCATGCTCAACAAGCGGTACAAGATTCTGGTCGACATCCTTTTCGTCAAGATCTTTAAGATGTTTAGAACTGAATTCCCATGCCTCCTGCATCATACTTTCTCCTTCTAACCCATAGAATGAGGCTTCATAAAAGCTCAGTATTGCCTTCACATCATCAGAGACACACGCCGAGAAACTGCCCGTCTTGTCCTTGAAACTCTCAAAAACTTCTGCACTCAATAAGGAAAGTAGAACAAACATATTGGTTTATTCTAATGATGACTACTTTTTTTGAACTTTAATTTTGAACTTTAATTCTTCAGTACCTTCAGTAATATAATAGCCGTGTTTTCTCAGGAGTCTAAACTCTAGAGAGGTTGCATATAGATTTCCTTTCTTCCATTTATGATCGCTGATATTGTGGACACGGTCCAATATGTTCTTTATTTCACGTTCAAAATGGTTAGCCACTCCAAGTCTTTGTAAGTTGTCAATCAGCTCAAGCTGATCCAATGGGTTGTCCATACTATTGATTATCATCCTCACTTCTTCTGTCAGCTTTTCTGCTTTTTTCCTGTATGCTTCTCCCTGAAGAAAATTAAGTTTTTTGTAATTAGTTCCTGAACTTGAACTAATTAAATTCAGCAAAGAACAAATTAAAACCATAAAACAGGAAAAAAAGAACATGACTACCGTGTACTCATTAGTCAATTTTGGCAGATAATCTTCGTTAAAAATGCAAGGTTTGTAGTTTCCTGATCGCCTTACAACAGTTGAAGTACTAAGTTCTGGGTTAGCGATGCACTGGAGTTGCTTCTTCACACTGATTTTGCTGGTTGGTGTTTTAGAAACAAGTCGTTGACGGTGTTGAAAAATAGCACCAGAAGGAATATTACAGGTTGATGCAATACAAAAAGCCATTAGTAATTTGTGAAGTTCACTCTGTCATAAACTTGAGACATGCAAGCTGATATTTATAGACTAGTTAAGAGGTCACCAGAAGTTTTTGGCGCGAAAGAATTTTATGCAATTGCAATTATAGCCCAAACACTTTATACAATTGCAATTTGTGAAACTCTAAAAAAGGAGTTGATACTGCTCAATAATTTTTGAAAATTCTCCCTCCTCATAATTGCTTCATATAAAAATCATTTATCTTCTTCTCATTTTCAGTCTTGTCTGTCTAATAGTCTTATTTTTTTTTTCTAGAAGGGCGATTGTAACCACGCACACAATTATTTCATATAAAAATCATTTATCTTTCTTCTCATTTTCAGTCTTCTCTGTCTAGTAGTCCTTTTTTTTTTTTTTTCTCCTAGAAGGACAAGCAGAGATGGGCTTTTGCAATCACATACACAGTTATTTCATATAAAAATCATTTATCTTTTTCTCACACTTATATACATCTTTAACTTGTTAAAATCGTGGGAGTAACTAATCATTACCTACAATATATTAACTATGATAAAACATTATAGCTAATTAATGTATTTAACTATAAACATTTTATTTACATGACATATAGCATCATTATTAGTTACGAGTTTAGATATATGTAGTATACTCTCTAGCTAGTAATTCTTTAGGAAATAATGTATATAAGTGTGAAATAAAACTCACTAAATATCTCATAGAAAACATATATGTATAAGTGTGAAATAGTGTGCCCAAAAACTAACTTTACTTTATATAAAAATCTCTACATCAAGTAATAGATCACATAAATAAGCACAAAGTGCTATCGGATAGTGTTGCCAATCTCCTCCGCTATTTGATGTTCCACCCAACCACATCTTATCTATTACTTATAAAAACAGTGAAATTAACGGAGTGAGCACTAATTGCTCAGTAAGTAAACTCACTATTCTACTATTCTTTCTCCGTTACTAGTATTATGGGTTTCTTTCCTTACAACAAGCTTCTCTATTCTTCTTCGTTCTTTCTAATATTCTAAGTTCCCACTTACCATCATGTAAGAATACTTAATAAAAACTAAATATCACTGAATTACACAAGAGATTCTGGTTGGTGGAAGTAACATAATGCACATGCACAAATAAATAAACTTTTTCTAGGAGTTGCATTTTCTTTTTGGTTTTTCCGTTTTCTTATTCTGTCTTCTATTTCTCATTTATTTTTTGTTTCTTTTCTCTTTTGTTTCTTTTTCTGTTTCTATTCTTTCTTTTCTGTTTCTCTTCTTTTTTTTTTTTTTTTTTTTGGCGTCTTTTATTTTATTTTTCTATTCTGATTTGCCGATCGAACTCGGTCGAGGCATAAATTCGGAACCCTGGCCGTGTGAGTGTCTTCTGAAATTATTTTTGGGTACAATCCTCATCCATATGCACTTCTAACAGACTGTACAAATTCTTCTTTTCTATTCTGAGGTCGCTCACTGATGGCAGTGTGCATGTGGACTTTTTTGCTTCTCTGTCACTCACGGGTTCTCCATCGCAACAACCTTCTCTTATCTTTCTTTTAAATAAAAAATTCAGTTTCTATAGATTCTTCAAATGTGTTCATTAATAGTTTTCTTTCTTTCTCTTTATTCTTTAATGTTCTTATATATGTATATAGCTTATTCTTGGCTATTCTTTCTAAATTCAAATGCTTAAATTCAAGAATGCAATATGGCATGTAAATATGTCATTCTCTACCATCAATAAGTTCATATCGAGATAACAAGCTAACATACTCATGCAAGCACTTCACTTTGAAATTTCATCAAACAATTTGCATGCACATACAAACAGTAAATTAGGTAGAATTCCTCATCTATCCCAAGACACCAAAATTTTGAGCAAAACTCCCTAAAACCAACATCAAACCTGGCCAAGAATCACACTGCATAATTCAACTCCAATTCTTCCATAATTCATCCAGACTTCCACCCATACATCCCTACATAAAAACTACTTCTCATGGCTGAATTTCAACCATCATTCAACATCCATTTAATCAATAACTCTCACCATACAAAATTCATACAAACATATAAGAGTTTTCTCTACACAATTATTAATCAAATCAAAGCTAGAGTTAGATTTACTTACCTTAAATGTCAGTAACACTGACACTTTAACCTTCCTTTGCTAGAACTCTCTTTCTCTTAAACCCTAAGCATATAAAACCATAAGAATTCAAGACTTTAAAATTAAACTCACATCTTGGTGCAAGAATCTTACCTATGGATGCTTAGGATTGAAATTCTACCAAAAGTGAGCCAAATTCTATGGACTTCCTTTGAAGTTGGTTGAAGAAAATTTGAGAGCACTTGGGTAAGAGTGGTGTGAATGAATGGTAGAATGGCTAGGGTTCCTCTCTTGAATCCTTAATATTACACAACAATATTCATAGATTTCCATTTTATCCTTGCACTTTCTAAGAAATTCTATCTTTGCCCTTTAGTCAATTATAATAATGCCCTCATTTCTATTATCTTCTCCATGTTATTCTACTTCTTTTTACTCCCCACTCATTCAACTAATTACGGGTGAAATGACCATTTTACCCCTAAGCAAGTTATCCAGAATTTTCTAAAAAATTCCAAAGAGTTTATTGCCGCAGTGAACTTCTTTCCTTGCCGCAGTGAAGTCGACATTTCTACAAACACGAATTTGGGCGAAGTATGAAAAATTTACTTCATGCTAACTTCCAATCTTTCACCTTGAAATAACTAATACTGAGGGCATTAAGACATAAGTAAACTTATGTACCTTAATGTGGGCGTTACAATTCTCCCCCCTTATAAGAATTTTGTCCTCGAAATTCAGACAAACAATTCAGGATAACGATTCCGCATATCTTGCTCTACCTCCCATGTAGCTTCTTCTACTTTATGATTCCTCCATAGGACTTTTACTAATGGAATACTCTTGTTTTGGTGCTCTTTAACCTTTCTATCCAATAACTGTACTGGGCACTCCTTGTAAACAAGATTCTCTTCTAAGTCCACTTCTTCTACTTTTAATATATATGAGGGATCGCTGACATATCTTTGAAGCATTGAGACATGAAAAACATTGTGCACTCTATCCATATTTGGTGGTAGCGCCAATTTATAAGCTACCTTTCCTACTCGTTGCAACACTTCAAAGGGGCCAATGTATCTAGGCACTAGTTTTCCTTTACCGCCAAAACACATTATCCACTTATATGGGGAAACTTTAATAAACACTTTATCACCCATTTCAAATTCTACATGTTTTCTCTTTAAATCTGCATAGCTCTTTTGTCTGTCTTGGGCTTGTTTCATTCTATTTCTGATCAGCTTGATGTCTTCTATCATTTTCTGAGTTATCTCTAGCCCCAGAGCTATATTCAAAACATCTTTCTCTCATACCTCATTCAAATGTAGTAGAGATCTACATCGTCTACCACACAGGGCTTCATAAGGAGCCATCTTAATTGTAGACTGATAATGTTATTATAAGCAAACTCCACCAATGGTAACATCTCATGCCAGGTCATTCTATAATCCATACAACAAGCTCTCAGTGTGTCCTCAAGTACTTGATTTGTTCTCTCAGTTTGGCCATCTATTTGAGGACGGCATGTTGTACTAAATGCTAGTTTTGTACTAAAATTTGTAAGAAATTTCTTAGAAGGCTGAAACAAATTTGGAATCTCTATCTGATACTATTGTCTTGGGCACCCCATGGAGCCTAACTATCTCCTTAATGTAAATCTGGGCCAACTGATCTGAGGTGGTACTATTCTTTACTGGAAGAAAATGTGCTAATTTGGTTAATCTATCTACTATTACCCATATCGCATTATATCCCTTTTGAACTCTTGGAAGGCCTGTGATGAAATCCATTGATATATTTTCCCATTTCCATTCAGGAATGCTAAGTGGCTGAAGCAATCCTAATGGCCTCTGATGCTCTACTTTCACCTGTTGACAAACCAGGCATTTAGCCACATAATCTCCTATATCTCTCTTCATACCTGGCCACCAATAACTCTTCTTTAGATCTTGATACATTTTGGTTCCTCCAAGATGAGCAGTGTATGGTGTGTCATGAGCCTTCTCAAGAATCTTCTTCTTCAACTCAGCATCTTGGGGAATGCATATGCGATTCCAAAAATGGAGGATAGCATTTAAAAAGTGAAATTATGGCATCTTGCCCTCAGGTACTTGTCGACTTATTTTCTGACACCACTCGTTGACATCTTGCTTTTCTTTAATCTCTTCCAGTAAAGTAGGCTGAATTTCTAACCTGGAAATCCTTCATGGTATCACCTCTATCTGTTCCTCACACAACTCTTCTAATAATTCTCCCTGCATTGTGAGTTGGGATAAATAGGCTTTTTGACTCAAAGCATCAGCTACTACATTGGCTTGTCCAGGCTGATACTTAATTTCACAATCATAATCTTTTATCAGTTCTAACCATCTCCTTTGTCTCATATTCAACTCCCTTTGGGTGAAAAAGTACTTCAAACTTTTATGATCAGTATAAATATTGCTCTTTGCTCCATATAAGTAATGCCTTCATATTTTTAATGCAAAGACTACAGCTGCCAACTCTAAATCATGCGTAGGATATCTCATCTCATACTCTCTCAACTGTAGAGAAGCATAAGTTATTACCTTACCCAACTGCATTAATACAACACCAAGTCCCTGAAGTGAGGCATCTGTATAAATATCATAATCTACACTCTCGTATGGGTTAATCTTCTTTTTAACTCTTGCAAGCTTTCTTCACAAGCATCCGACCATATGAAAGGAGTTCTCTATTTGGTAAGAGCTGTAAGTGGCTTAACCAACTGAGCAAATCCTACGACGAATCATCTGTAATAGCCAGCTAGCCCCAAGAAACTTCTAACCTCCTTTACTGTCTTCGACTTTTGCCACTCTAGGATTGCCTTCAACTTACTAGGATCCACTGATATGCCCTCATTTGAGACAGTATGGCCCAAGAAGATAACTT